AGTTTCGAACTGCTGACCTTAAGGTTCGCAGCCCGATTCGTAACCACTACGCTACCAGAGCTCCTGTTGTTGCTGTTGTATAGAATATGTGATATTAAGAAAGAGACCCTATTTTTGGATACCAGAATCTTTTTTTTTTCCTTCCTTTTTTTTTGTGTGTGACCTAAACCATATTTGGTTTTGTCTCTACTGTTGTACAAGTAAATTTTGTGTATATATGGAAATTGTAGAAAATATTGCTGAATACGATTGCATAGAGTATCCATCACCCAAAAGCAATCACTTGATGTCTTTTTTTGTAGTCTTTTGCCTATATTTGGTTTTTAAATTTTATTGTTATGTAAGTGTGATCATATTGAGTAGATAATTTTTTTAATTTTTCTCTTCTTTTTTTTAATAAAATCCATTTATTTAACAAGTATTTGAATGTCCACTATGTGTTGGGCTTTGTTCTGGATGTCTCTGATGAGAGAATTAGAAGTCCCTGTGGGGATATGGTGTGGGGGCCATCAATGCATAGCTGATATTGAAACTGTTGCCTCCAGGAGGGGAGTAGATGGAGCTGAGGAGAGGCACGACACTCAGCCCTGTGGCACACCAGTATGCAAAGGTGGAGCAGCAGGAAGAGGGCAAGGCAGAACAGGCAACGTAATAGAGAGAAAAACTGGAGTGTCTAGAGGAGAAAGTGTTTCCAAGAGAGAAGGGAGTTCCTCCTTGTGTCCTATGCTACTGAGCATCTGAGTGAGATAGGGACAGAGGGTTAACCATTGGGTTGAGCAAGCTGGAGGTCAGGTTAGACTTCAGTGGAGTGCTCTGAGGGGCAAATAGGGTGTTATTTTAACACATGCTACTTGTTTTCCATATATTTTAAGCATAATTTAATGGCTTCATACGATAGCTAATCATGCATGTTACTTACAATTTATGAGCTCTCAACTGTGTGACATTCCTGTCTTCAGTTTTTACTATTACAATTAAGATCAAACAAATGACTCTCTAAATTTTCTTTCCTGTGTTTAGCATCATTTCCTTTGAATGGAGTCACATAAAGGGAGATACTGGTCAAAAGATTTTTAGAGCTAAACTATCTTCCCAAAGAGCTGCATGCTTGTATTACTCTGGTGGTATCTGAGGGCTCCCAAATCCTGCCTGTCAGTGGGCCCTTCCACAAGGTATTATATCAGTCTAGAAATTCTTTTAACCTTGAACAGAAAAATGGATGACGAGAAGCAAGCCCACATTATTGACTGGAAAGTATCCACAGTTTATGGCATAGTTATGTTAAGCAGAAATGTAGACCCAATGATTGCAAAACATATGGTGCCACAATTTGAAAGTGATGCTGGTGTTGAGTATAATCCCTTTTCACTGAGGTTCTTGTGAACTTAAATCAGCTATGACCAAGACCAATAGCCAGTCATGATCTCCATGCTTCATCCCTGTATTCCTACACATTCATAAAGATGTGATCCGGCTTGGCATTTCAGACCATTTACCCTTTTCCAGTAAGCATCCTGCAAATTCCCCTTAGCAGCTGCCTGCTAATATCAGGGAATGACTTGTACCCTTTTCCATGCCTGCCTTGGGTGGGGTTTTATAAACATTTCCAGCCTGTGGCAAAGTGAGAACAACTTCTAGACTAATCATAATCTCAAAAATGCTTCCCCTCCCCCCAACATTCCTCCAACCCCACTACTTATAATAATTACTTCCTGGTCACATTATGGATTGCTCCTGCCCAGCTGCAGCAGCTGGATAAGAGTTGCTGTCCTCAGTTGCCTTGCTGGGTTTACTATTTAACTGCTTCCTGCCCAGCGAGCAGCACCTCACTCAGGATTTACAGCAGCAGCACCCAGTATGCCAACATCTCCTACAGGACTCACAGCACCAAGCCCGGGATTGGCAATGCCCAGAGCAGCACACCACAGCCTCTGAGTCAGATGCTGGTACCACTGTAACTCATCTTCAGTAGTCTGTCCAGCTTCATCAGATTACTGTGAGAAATTAATGTGATCCTGTGTGTGAAGTACCTGCGGTAGGGCCTGACCCAGTAGCCCTCTGTCTGGTTTAACTCTGGTCTCATTTTCTCACCCCGCCCCTATTGTTGAGTCTTCCTACCTTTCACTGCTCCAAGCTGGTGACATAAACCTGACTCCTCAACCCTTGTTCTGTGTGTTTCATACTTGCAGGGGGATTTATGAAGAAGCATGGTCAGCCTGTTGTTTCCAAAACTTTGAGGTAAGTTCTGGGGTAGTCAAGCAAGGCTAAGGGTTGGAAATGCTTATTCCTGTCTAGAAAATAAGTCTTCTTGGGCATCCTAGCCTATAGGATGGGTGGGATCCTGTTGTTGTTGTTTTTATGTGCCATGGAGTCGGTTCTGACTCATAGTGACCCTGTACTGGGTTTCCGAGGCTATAAATCTTTACAGGAGCAGAAAGTCTCCTCTTTCTCCCGTGGAACAGCTGGTAGTTTCGAACTGCTGACCCTGAGGTTAACAGCCTGATTTGTAACCACTAATGTGTCCTTCAAACAGAGCCTTCTGACCTAGACAGCATCTGTGGGTGGCTGATTTGACTAGCCCAGCTGCTGAATGCTAAGGAAGTCGGGGGGGTGGCCATAATCGCCAGGAATCTCAAAGAATTGAATAAATAGGCAAATGTAGAAGACACAGTCAATATGTGATCATTCTTATAGAAAGTAAACCCTTATTGTTGTTAAGCACCATCGAGTCAGTTCTTACTCATAGCAACCCTATATAGGGTTTCTAAGGAGCAGCTGGTGGGTTTGAAATGCCAACCTTGTGGTGTAAGTCCAGTGCTGATCCTACAACGCCACACCTTTATTATATAATAAGGGTAAATAAACCTCTATTGTTGTTGTTAAATGTCATTGAGTCATTTCCAACTCATAGCGACCCTGTATAGGGTTTCTGAGGAGCAGCTGGTAGGTTTGAACTTTGTGGTTCGCAGTACAGTGCTTATCCTACAGTGCCACACCAGAAGCCCAAATCTTTATTTTTGTTGTTGTTGTTGTTGTTAAGTGCCATTGAGTTGGTTCTGACCCATAGTGACCCTGTATAGGGTTTCTAAGAAGCATCTGGTGAGCTTCAACCACCAACCTTACAGTTCAAAGAACTTTGCAGTCTGACGTGTTAGCCCACAGCATCACACCAGGACTCCTAAATCTTTACTAGTAAAGGTAAATAGCAATAGCTGCTGTAACAGATAAGCTCTCAAATCACAGCAGAGTAACACAGTGAAAGTTTATTTCTTATCAAATAAGATCCAATTCAGATATTCCTGAGCAGATGGAAAGGGACCCTGGCTCCTTCTGTTTTGTGGCTTCTTTGTCTCATAGGGCTTTAGAGCTTCTCCTGGACCCTTCGCATCTAGCCAGCAGAGTGAACTGTAGAGAAATGTAGAAAAATCTCTCAGTCTATTGGTCAGAACCCAGACTTTTGACTAGAACTCAGTAGAATTCAGGCATACCTAGCTGCAGAGAGGAATGGGTACATATACCCAGGAGATATAGGAAATAGATTTTGTGCCATGTTATTTCCAGAAAGGACATTAGAAATTAGAATTAGAATGGCTATCCTTTGTAAATATCGGTGGGTAGAGGGAAGATGGTCTGAATTGCTGCCTTGTCTGGGGCTGTATTTTCTATATGCTGATTTCTTTCCAGGGACAGGTTTGCAGTCCCTGCAGTGGAGACCCGTCCTAGCATCTGGGGAGAGTGCCCACCCAAGTTTGCTACCAAGCTGGGCCGAGTGGTGGTTAAAGAAGGACTGATGGGACGATTCTCCTGCAAGATCACTGGCAGACCCCAACCACAAGTCACCTGGCTCAAGGTGAGGTTTCTGTCTTCTCTGACTTTAACCTGGGTCTGAAGACCATGAAAGTTCAGGATTAGATCCTGGACTAGTGTGAATCTGTCTATCCAGTCCATTCGTTTTGTGTCTACAGTAGGTGATGCTCTAGGGTGCTCTACATGTGGTATAGCAATGCTTGTCCTTGTTCCTGTTTGCATATTCTCCAGTGTCACTCAGATCAAATGTTCCCATAATTCTCACTCTCATAACAGCATGAAACTTCTGAATCAAGACAGAACTGTCCATCTCAAGAGACTAGAATTTGAACTCATGGGACTAGGTTTCTGTCCATGGCTCCTTGGTTCACAAAACCTGCGCTATTGATCAAGTCATTAGACCTCTAGAAGCCCTATTCAGTATATGAGGAAATAATATCACCTACTCAAAATACTATTGGGAGGCTCCATGAGGTGCTTTGTAAGTCATTCAATGCTAAGCTAAGATATGGGTGGAAAAGGTGATGGGGAGGAGGGAAGTAGGCAGCACAGGCAGGATGGGAGTTAAGGCAGTGAGGAGCCTTAGTTAACAATAGATGTCAAGGTCAAGGAAAGTAGGTTTTTCAAAGATGAAACTCCTAGATGAAAAGAGGTGTTGAAAAACAGAAAATCTATAGAAAGAATCAACAGGACAAGAAGCTGGTTCTTTGAAAGGATTAAGACCTTTGGCAAACCTAACAAAAGAAGAAAAGAGTAAGAAGACACAAATAACACGCATTAGAAAACCACATGGGTGATGTCACAACAAAACCAAAGGAAATCAAAAGGATAATAACAGAATACTATGAAAAGTTGTACTCAAACAAATTTGAAAACTTAGAAGAGATGGATCCATTTTTAGAAAAACACGACCTACCTAAACTTACACAGAGTGAAGCAGAACACCTGAACAAAACCATAACTAAAGAAGAAATTGGTCAGGTCATCAAAAAACTCCCAACCAAAAGAAGTCCAGGTCCAGATGGCTTCACTGGTGAGTTCTTCCAAACATTCTGGGAAGAGCTGTCACCAATTCTACTCAAATTATTC